ATGAAAGGTTTGGATGTTTGACCCCCCGCGGGGCCCCTCAGGGAGCCGATCGGGGGCCACGCTGGAGTCTTGAAGCCAGCTGCTCTCCACAGGCGACGAACCCTCGTGTCCCCGTGACGTCAAGCCGAGTTCACGGCGGTCGATTCTGCACCAAACTGTCACCGACACGACTCTCTTTACCCTGCATGAAGGTCATCTGGGAAACGCTTCAAAGGAGAGATTTGTTTTATTTCTGGAGCTGAAACGATGAATCGATTCAGCCAAGCAAAACAGAGAAAGAATGTGAACAATTCTGCCATAACAGCATGTGAGGATTCACTGCTTTTTCTCTGTGTTGTGTGATTGTGAACTGAACATCTTAAGGTTGATTCGACAAAGCAAGACCTTTGAAGGAGACTGGGATTGGAATTTTTCTGTATTTTCTGACATTTTATTGATTTAAACGATGAAATTAAAAGATTATTTGATGCTAAAGTTTGTAGCTGCAGATCTGATAACAATTAAGGTTTTATTTTGTAGAAGGCCAAGTTGAAATTAACAGGATTAGCTTTCTTTAATAATAATAATAATACGTTTATTTAGTATCGCACCTTTCACAGTAATATAATTCACAAAGTGCTTCACAAGAACGAACAAAAGTTAAAATTAAGACCACAGAAACATGAATACAATTACAACATGAGGCAGACATGTAAGGTCAACATAAAAACAAAACACAGACCTTTAAGAAAACAGTTTAAATGTGATAAATTCTGTAAAATGTAAGAAACTGAGAAAAATGTACTAAACCACTGCGAAACAAAAAGCCTTATGCGCCTCAAATGATATGTTGTAGCACTCTGCAGACCAGCGACATATTTGTTAAACATTGTTCCATTTGTAAAAGCTAGCTACGGCAAAAATAATGCACACAAAAAGTATTTCCTTACTGCCAGCTGCAAATAGAGCTGAAGGCCCTCCTCCGCCTGGGAGAAGCTCATCTTGGAAAATCAATTTTACAACATGATCGGTCTGTGTGTCATCAATAGTGTGTGCATATAACTTGACTTATGTTGTGCCGTCTGGATGTTTCAGAAAATGAACCCACTATTCTCACAGTGATAGTTTGCCATTAAAAACACAACATGCAATGCAGAAAATATGCTATATCAAAATAAATATGTTGTTTTTTTACCAGCATCAATTTTGCTTTAATAAATTAATCACAACTGCCCTTTTTCACAATTTCTGTACAGGCATTTTGGACAGATCTGAAGCTGATCGACATGGTAACCTTGACATGTAGTGATTTTAACAATGGACATAAAGTGTTAAATGTTGTTTCCCAGTCTGGATGTTCCAGAAAATGAACCCACTTTTCCCACAGTGATAGTTTGCAGTGGAGAAATCCCATTGCTATGCTATATCAAAAATAAATGTGTCTAGTTTTTTAACAGCATCCATTTAGCTTTTTAATAAACACTGAATTAGTATCATTTTCCCAATTTCTGTACAGGCATTTGGGACAGATTTGAAGCTGATATAGATGGTAACCTTAACTATAATGTAGTGACAGTATCAGATGAAGGATGTTTCTTACAGTACAGAGAGTGTGTGCAGGGTCTGCAGGCGCTGATGTTGTTGCAGGACCCTCCCCACTGAGTTCATGTTTTGTGGGGCCATTAATCATTGTGACAACTGGAGGGCCCCTCAGAGAGCACGGAAATGTATTTATGACAAAACTACTGAGTGAGCATAACACATAAAGTACACTTTTGATCAAGGTGTGAAGCTGGATCAGACAACACATGGGACAGTTTGTAAAAAGAAAACCACAATTTCCTCTGGCTGTTTTGTAGGCGAGTCAATATCACCATACGGTGCATTTGAGACTTCCCCATTTCCAAAAAAGAAATCTGAGATTTTCCATTGAATTTCATATTCATTGTATTAAATATACGTTATGCTGTTAGAAATGGAAGTTGGTCAAGCTCCCACACTTTTTATAAATGAACTGCAAGTATGAAAACAGCTAAATGTATCCACCCTGTCATGGACACAATTCAAAGATTTAATACATTGTAATTATATAGGGATTATAAAATGTACATTTTCAGAAAGCGATAGTCCCTTTCTCAACAATATATTTCAGTTAATGGAAAACGTATTTGAATACAAATGAAATTAAGGCAAACTATTTGTACCATGTCCACCCTGTCATGGAAGGCTTGCTGACAGGGTGGACAATGACAGGGTGGACATTTTTGGCTAATATTAGCATTTAATGAGCACATGGTGGACCTTCAGTTAGCAACATGATTCAGTTAGCAAGGTGTTTAACAAATATATTTTGAATTTCTGAAAGGTTTTTATATTAATTGACATTTCACTATGATGACAGAGTGGAGATGTTAAGCTTGACAACATCCAACTACACACATAATATGATTACAATTACGAAATATAAGTTAAAAAACGTAGGCTACTTTGCAACTAGCCAATGTCTCAGCCTCCATTGAGGAAAGACAAAATGGTGGTAGTGATGTCACTGAAAACAGGGGGGCAGTTACCCCTTAATGACAGGGTGGACAGCAAATGTCAGGGACACATGCAAAATATTCAATATTATTATGAAAATAGAATATACATGATCAAAATGACTCGTTTTATCAAATAACTCGTTGTGGACAATAAAACCGTATACTTTAAAAAAAAATGTAGTATGATTTAACCACTTAATACACACACTTTAGTTAGCAGAGTAGTGTGTGGGACATGCCAAAATCACGTACATCCACTGAAAAAATAAGGTATAAAATGAAGGAAACGCATTTCAAGAGACTCATCATTGTACTGATATGTGTGTAAATGTTTGGCCTTTTATAATAAGACCTCAGAGTTTCATTATTCTGCTACATTTTCATGATAACTGAGTGATTCTGATGGGGACACCAAAGTTACTTTATAGCAGTGGTTCTCAAACTTTTTCTGGAGAAAAAAAAAAGTCGGGCCCCCCCCAACACAAATAGTCACGTAATGAGAGTCCTTTAGTTCACTGAGCCTGAGCCAGGAGAGGACTCTCCTCCACCTTGTTGTGGAAAAAGCTCCTTATATCCGTTAGCGTAGCTCGCTAGCACCAGAAGCTAACAACAACGATCTCCGGTACCGGTGCTCTCTCTCTCTCTCTCCTTCTCTCTCTCTCTCTCTCTCTCTCTCTCTCTCTCTCTCTCTCTCTCTCTCCTCTACTCTCTCTCTCTCTCCTCTCTCTCCTCTCTCTCTCTTCTCTCTCTCTCTCTCTCTCTCTCTCTCTCGCTCGCACACAAAATGGCTCGTTCCACACACACACAGCGCCGAGCTTGAATAAACACAGAGACCCAGACGTACTTGTACTGTACTGTATATCATATTATTTTCGAATCAATAATTTTCCAAATTATGAATTATTTTTTTATTTTTGTTCTAACCATTTTTCCTCCTGGTCCCTGTCATGCCTCTGCGCGCCCCCCACTTTGAGAAACACTGCTTTATAGTGATATTGACCCAGGCACTTGCTAGAGATTTTTGGCCAACATGTTAACTTGGTGGTACAAATATCTTGAATAGACAAGTCATAGCCCTACTTTTGTATATATAGGTATGTAGGCAAAGGAAACATTAGTAGCTGAAACTAAGTTAAGAATCAGACGGTTGATAATAAGATTGTCTTCAAGTGAGGTAGAAAAGCTATCCAACTATGCATCTGGGTAAGCCTGTGGTAAGAGGGTAAGAGTTTAGTTGCCATGGCAACATCTGTTAGAATGTCCGTTAGTTTACTGTTTATCCATCGCTTTAAGGTAGGTAATTTTGGAGAAACCAGCTCGAGTGCGCTAGAATTTGAAAATACACAGCCGGAAAAAATCTGCCACTTCCTTACAGAGCCCCTCCTCCAACACACACGAACGCGCACATGACCAATGAGGGCACGAGATAAGTTTGTGCACAGATGGAAGGCTGACAGGCAGGTAGGCCATCCAGTTATTTTAGCCGGGCCGGCTCAGATGATTGGTCGTGCTTTTTACAGTACTACGGTTTCCACAGATTAAATGTTTTTATGGATTTTTTGTCAAAGCACTTAAAATATTCATTGCTATCGGGATGTTAAGAGCATTCCATATGAATATAACAAAAAGTGTATCTCGAGCCGGTTTCTCAAACTTACCTACACCACCTTTAAGCTATAACGTTTTGTTGCTAACTTTTAGCTCACTATTTCAACAGCTAATAACCTTTAACTAGCTTTTTCTACTGCTAATCCATTGGTTTAAGCTGACTTTTTCAACAGTTTGTTGCTAACCTTTAGCTAACGATTAGCACCGTTTGTCGCTAATTTGGAGCTACTATTTTTTTTAAACCATTACGTTTAGCTCACTATTTCAACTGTGACTTTTTGCTAGCCTTTTCTCCTGATATTCCATTGGTTTAAACTAACCTTTTTAACAGTTTGTTCATAACATTTCGTAACATTTCGCTAACTGTTAAAAAACTGTTTTGTTTTACTCTTTGTCCGTTCAAGTATCTTCAACTGTTTATCCCTTGCTTTTAGCTAACTTTTCCAAAAGTGAATCCATTACTTTTTAGGTTATTATTTTAACAGTTTTAGCTTTCTTTAAGCTACGTTTTTCAGGTTTGTTTTTCCATTACCTTAATCTGACTATTTCATGTGTTTATCCAATAATTTAAGCTAACTAATTCAACTTTCTTCCCTAAGTTTTAGCTAAATATTTGAATTGTGTATTCATTACCAAAGCGAATTTATAGCTTACTACTTCAACTGTTTATCTATTACTAACTTTTTTAACTGTTTAGCCATTACTTTTAGCTTATTATTTAAACTATTTATTCCTTATGCCAAGTCATTTTTTATTACATATAAACTATGAATATTTGTTTAAAGTTGCTTTTTCAGTAATATAGTTCAGAATTAAGAAATAAGTCATGAATATGTTTGATTAGATAACATGGATGTTGATAAACTGGTTGATTTGGCAGTTGAATATAAGGCTATATAAACTAAACTAAACTACTAACAGCATATCATAAAATCGCCAGAATATTTTATCGTTACAAGTATCATCTGTCCTCTGGTGATATACAGTCTATGGGTGATTCCCACCCCTGTTATATAAATGTATTTGCTTACATACTGCAAAACCATGCAAGTCAGTGAGCCGTTAAGCTGTAGAAGATTATGTAAGAATGAAGATAATCAAGACAAAGGAGAACACTAACGTCCATCTCCTTTATCCTGGCTTTGCATAGTGTTTCTGCAGCTGAACTCTCCACCACCTCCTCCTGCTCCTATGTGTGCTGAGGTGAGCTGAAGCAGAGAAAAAGATGGCATGTGGAGGCTACAAGGAGCTGGCTGCATGTTCTCTGCTTTGTTTACTTAGGTCAAATAATACAGACAGCTGATACACCTGCAGTCTCTCCTGCTGTCGTCCATGTGCTGCAGGCCGGAGTGGAGGAAGTGAATCACTGCAGTTCAGTGGGGGAGACGGCAACAGAAGGTCAGGTGTGTGCAGAAAAAGTGTGATTTTTTTACGTAGAAGAATCATTACAATTACATAACTACAGGTGTATATCTCTTGATTTACTAATGAAAGCAATTAAACCAAAAACACTTCCTCGCTCAGTTCAATACACTCAATACAGTTCAATACACTCAATGATATTTCGACTAGTAATTATTTGTATCCCCATGATCCTCATCAATCTATAGTGTCTTATTTTTCAAGTGTTACATGTCAAAGTTACAATTTGGATGACAAATAATCATAATAATTACTTAGCTATAGGTGTACACCTCGTGTGAATTTCCAGAAAAAAGCCAAATGGGTATTTTAGTGAGAATATATAGGTTTTTAAAGAATAAATGTCAAATATGATTTACTAATGAAAGCAATACAACCAAAAAACACTTCTTTGCTAGGTTCAATATACCCGATGATGATATTTGAACTACAAACACTTGTATCTTACTGGTAGTTATCTTTTTTTGCATTAAATTAACAAATAAATGACATTAAGTCAATCTGTAAAGTATTATTTTTACAACTTTAAAGTCAAAATACTACAAAATTGGACAAAGAAATCAGATTTACAGTTAATTGATATGCTCTGAGGACCACATTGTGCAGAGATGTCCCCGGTTTATTGATTTAAAACACACACTGAGAGCAAATAACAGTGAGAGTACAATCCCCCGTTGTTACGTAAAGACAGCAAAAATAAAAAACGACACATTGGTGAAACCAGATCTCCAAAAAGAAAAAAAAAAGCTTGTTTATTTTTAAGTTTTTCACACAAGAAGCTCCAAAATGAAACGCTTTTAAACTTTCAAATGTAATCAGAAGAAATGTCCCCTTCCTCCGGTTTTTAACACTGATAAATACAGAGGTTCTGCTAATCGAATCTGAGCAGAAGAAAGGTTTGTTGTTAGGTACAAGGTGGTGTGAAATAAAAGGAAATAAAAACATTATCACCAAATGCTTAAGACCAACAGAAATCAGAACAGGGTCTTTCCTGACAGTAAATAGCCCTCCCCTGTTTTTTCACATCAGTACAGCAGGCCTGTGTTCATCGGCCTGCATTAAAGTGCAGACTGGGGGGGGGGGGCAGCTTCATCGCCAACATTGGACACATCCATCATTTTTTCCAACCAGTTTAGATTGAACTACGCCCACTTCTGCACGACTGAGCAATGGATGTACGAAGAGAACGTAAGAGAAATGTAAAAAATAAAAAAAATGAATAAATGAAATAAAAGAATAGTAATAAAAACATAAAATAACAATAAAAGATGGCATTTTAACATGACTGAAGTATTCTTAAATCCATTGTCAATTAGTATTAAAGGATTAATTAACATTTACTCTTCTTTCATATTAAAAAATGGCTATTTCCATCAATCTACTTTGAAAAAGGTACTCAGGTATCTGGATGAAAACGCCGCTCTAACGCCACGTCGATGCTTTCGTCTTGCAGAAGTGGGCGTAGTTGAGTATAAACTGGGTTGGAAAAACGATAAGACGCCAACATGGAAACCAGGGCTCCTTCAATAGCTTATTTTTATGTCGTTATTCTAGTACAAAGTGGCTCAGTAATTTATCACTACTGTAGATGCAAACATTTATCATTGCACTTTATATCACCGCGGGGTCACACCGTGAGCAACACGATACGAGAGGTGTCTATACCAGGAATAGTATCTTGAAATCTATGAAAGAATGAGAAAATGTTTTTGAAGGTAGACATAAATAGATTTAGGTTATTGAAAGGGCTTGAATGTATATATTTTATGCAATAATAGAAATTGAAGTGGTTTATCCAGCCCTATAGCGAAGGGATCAAACATTCAAGGGTCTCTCTTTTGAACTGTTATCAGTGAACTTCTGGAAAGCCATCTCCTTCCTTCACATTATAAAATGTATTATTAATTAATTAATCCGTGTCAACCTAAAGTGTTGGGTCCTTGAATTTGAGGGAATTGGGCCTATATATATATTTGAAAACATTTAATTGAATACTGCAAATTAAACCAGAAAAGTCAGGTAAACATCAGTGAGGTTCCCTTTTCTGTAGACTTTCAATGTCTCTAAAAAAGGGAAAAATAGCTTCTTTAGTTTGTCAACTTAATTTCCCTATTAATTAAATGTTCACCTTTTTAAATAAAATGTAATAAAAACAACCGACTCTGAAGTCATTGATTAATGCCTCAAACATTGTGCTTTCAAGCCAAATAATATATAAAAAGTTGTGGTTTTTATTTAAATATGGGGATACAATCTGCTCATTTTGAGTGACACATCAACCAGGTTGCTCACAGTGTGACTGCACATTAAAAATGCTAAAATTATAATTTCCTCATCAAGGCCTTGGACTCACTTCATGCTCCAGCAAACCCAGAATTTAAATTTAAACAAGGGACTCCATCAGTAAGATCTTCGCTGTAATTAAAAGCTACTAAAAGCAACAAAACACACCGTATTTCTAAACCAGGCGCTGTGTCATCGGTCAGAAAAATGTCTCCTACAATTGCACACATGTAAAATATTCTGACAAAGGCATCTGTTTAGGCATTCAAACATCATGGCACTGAGAAATGACCTTAGAAATATTGAGAGCTTTGATAAAATATCAAATATTCCTTTTGCTTTTTTTGAGAGTACATTATTCGTCATTTTTCCACGTAACTAATACAGTATGGCGCTCATGAAGAAGCAGCTTCAGAGAGAGAGAGATGTTCAGTCTGGTAAACTAAAGGGAGTGTTTCCTGTGCCAGGAGGAGGGGGTTTAAAGAAAATAGCCGAGTACCAAAGGTATCTCTAACACCGTCCCGTGCTTCCGGTTCCTTCCTTTTCGGAGCCGATCCACAGCAGATCAGCTCCGGGCACTTCATGGATAAACGTTTGAACGAAATGACTTGAAATCATTTTTTTTTTTTTTTTTTTTAAACTTCCACTGGTTTCCTTCACTGTGCCGTGCTCTTGGTCCGCAGAGCTCCAATCACACTCTGGATGTTCTCTTCAGGAACCTGGAACACACACACCAAGTTTATTGTTATGGTTTTGTGTCGAACAAATAGCCAACATGATGTAGTTCATATGATATTTTAAAGCAAAAAAGCATGAAATCAGAGAACCTTTGAAAAAGTTTCACTATTTCTGCATGAAAGGTTAATTAATTATTTATCAAAAATAGCAATCATACAGAATTTAAAGGTCACCTATCATGGTATTTTTAGGCAATAGCATAGGTCTCAGATATATAAAAATATATATGCATATGTGTCTATTAAGTGTTTTGCTCAAAATACCAAACAGATCACCCATTCTAGCCATGCCTCATATCCCTCTATTTCACTTCCTGTTTCAAAAGTGCTGATTTGGGGTATAAAGCTTTAAAAAAAATAAAAAAGGAGGGGTCTGAGCTCATGCGGGACCCGGCAGCTACTGTCTAAACTAAATACTGCCGTGATGAAACGCCATATCATGGATTATCAAGGATTGTTTCTGAAACAGTATGGAGCTCAAAGGCTTTCTCTCTTGCCGGTTATACCACAAGGTGAGTTCCTTTTTATTTCCTGCTTCTTCACACACATGCTCTCCAGTACAGGTTAGCTCTGAGTGTTAGCGATGCTAATGTAAACACCGACCATATTACGTCCAAAACAGTCGGGCATTGTTTCTGATAGCAACTTTCTGATTGGGCCGTGGGTCCACATTTCAGATATTACGTCATATCGGACGCAAATCTGGATCAGCTCCGTTGTTCCCCCGTTTTTAGAGATTTGGGTACGGAGGAAAAGAGAGAGGGTTTTATTTCCTGACGCTGCGTGAGTTCCCTGACACACCGGGGACACGTGTTTATGTATAAAAGACGTAAAAAAGTGCATTTTGCATGATAGGTCCCCTTTAACTTCAGGTCTACAACTAATGATAATCCAGAGGTCCCAGGATATTTAAAAAGTCTTAAATTCATTGAATTAATACATTTAATTTAAAGTTATATTGGTATTAAAATCTTTTAGATAAAAATTAAGTAATACAAAAAATCGCTAGAAAATTGGGAGTATGATTTTATGAATAAATGTTTTCTGACTTTGACATTTTATTAATTAAGATACTTTTTTTTTTTTTAAATTGACCTAGTTCCTCTAATTTTAATGTCACACAGATTTTGCAAAAGTGTTCTTAACCCTGAGCAATTCAAGTTGTTTTTAAAAGTCAGTATTACTTACTTGTACTAAGTAAATATCTAAAACCTTTCTAAAATCAATGCCACAATCCAAAAATATTATATTTTTTATAGTGTAAGACAACAAAAAACACCAAATCCTAACATTTCAGAACCTAAAACCATCCAAATGTTGACATATTGCTTAAAAAACAATTAAGTAGTTGTCAAATAGTTATTGTCTCTCTCTCTCTACTTATAGGTTAATGTACTTATTGATGCAGCTCCACAGGAGATACACAGTATTGATTACATTCACTGCATTGAGTGAATCTCTTACCAGGGCGTGGTCGAACTTGAAGGTACTTATGTAGTAAGCAGGAATGTCAGCCGTTGCCAGAGGTTCAGATATTTGAGCCACGATGCCGCACTCATCTGTAGGAAAACAATCATTTGCCATATTTCTGATTATTAAAAGTGATAAGTGTGTACAATTAATACACACTTACAGAGACAGTAAAGCAGTGGTTCTCACAACCTCACCTTTCCAATATCTTAGCTCGTTACTTAAATCAGTGTTTTTTTTACCTCAGTATTTTTTTGGAGGTGAAAAACATTGGATAGAAAATTAAAAAAATCTTCTTTCCACAAATAAAACTCACCGAATCCTAAAGGTTGCCCCCCGATGCGCACCATTTTCCAGAGCTCCCCAGAAGCACTGGTGAAGAGGACATTGTTTGGAAACCTTGAAGAGAACAAAGGGAAAAACAATTATTAAATAAGCCTTAAAGGTCCCATGACATGCTTTTCTGGTTCTTACCCGTCCCCTTGTTGTTATGTAGGTTCTTCTGCATGTAAACGGTCTGCAGAGTCACAAACCCTCAAAGTACACCCTGTAGCGAGTAAAACTCTAACACAGAAAAGACCCGTCTATGCTGCCCCAGAACACCTCGTTGGAGATTTTTCTTTTACCATTTTTTTCTTCCTGGTCACAGTGACGTAACGACGACCAAATGGACCAATCCGTGGAGCTCCTCACACACACACACACTCGATCAACCTTATCTGTTCTCAGGCTGTGAGTGTGTGGCGATCAGCCTGGCTGTGAGTGTACTGTATGTGCTCAGGCTGAGTTCCTCGGTGTCTCGCTGTCTCGCAGCAACCAGGAAACGACACCAGTAATCCAGCTCACACTGTCCGCTCCTCGAGCCTCAAAGGGCGGAGCAGCGAGCCCTGCAACGTCCCACCAACACGGCACCCAGACCCCACGCAGTCATCTGTTTGTCATTACTGGTGTCATTTCCTGGTTGCTAACTAACGCCATTGTAATACATAATCACTGTTCAATGTTCCGCTGTAACGGTGGTGGACTCATCAGAGTGGGCGAGCTGACCAATCAGAGCACAGTGGGCTGACAGGGAGGGTGGGGGGGGGCAGGAGCTCCAACAAGGCGTTTAGGACAGAGAGTGAATACACATACTATACAGAGATGCTGTATGAGAAACCAATGTGAGTTTGGAACATTGAACAATGTAAATCTATTCTTGTAGACCTCAACAATGGAATTATGATCAGTAGAAATGGCCATGACATGGGACCTTTAAGTCATCAATAGACCCAACACAAGTGGATTTGTTGTCAAGGACAATTTAACTACAGAAAAACATGTTATTTTTATGTATGCTTCATTGACTCTTTATTTTTGAGTCATTCTTCAGAAAAACATGTCTTCTTCCATATCGTCCAGGATTGTAGGAGTCCACTGTAGGGCTGTGCGATTATGGCAAAAATCATAATCACGATTATTTGGGTCAATAATTGAGATCACGATTATTAAATACGATTATTCATTGACTTCAATTTATTGAACTTTAAAACAAATACAAATAATAATTTGAACAGTATCTTTTTAAAGGTAGGGTTGGTAAGTTTGAGAAACCGGCTCGAGTGCGCTAGAATTTGAAAATACACAACCGGAGAAAATCTGCCACTTCCTTACAGAGCCCCTCCTCCAACACACACGAACGCGCACATGACCAATGAGGGCACGAGATAAGTTTGTGCACAGATGGAAGGCTGACAGGCAGGTAGGCCATCCAGTTATTTTATCCGGGCCGGCTCAGATGATTGGTCGTGCTTTTTACAGTACTACAGCTTCCACAGATGATATTTTTTTATGGATTTTTTGTCAAAGCACTTCAGATATTCATTGCTATCGGGATGTTAAGAGCATTCCATGGAATATAACAAGTGTATCTGGAGCCGGTTTCTCAAACTTACCTACCCCACCTTTAACTGTTGATTACCCTGAAGGTATAATTCAACTGAAAAACCAATACAAAAATAAATGAACATTTAAATAAATAATAGCAAAATAATAAATACCAATAAACAAGATCAACAAATATTTTGGAGCGCACTTCCACAAGCTACTAAACATATATAAATATGATAAAAACAAATAAATTAGACTAAAATTAATGAGATCAAATATGTTGCAGTGTCACAACCTAGCAAAGCTAAATAATTGTTTTTTTCGATTATGTTGTTTTCGTAATTGTGGCAGGCCAAAATCGTAATTGTGATTAAAATACGATTAATTGCACAGCCCTAGTCCACTGTATCTTCGGGCTCTGCCTCTTCATCTGGGAGCTTGGTGAGGAACGTCTCAGCTGTTCAACTTCTCGCTGAAGAGCTGCGCTCTTGTCTTTCTCAAACTGCAGCTCTTTTGAGAGCTTAGCTTGAGTGACAATATGCGCCACTTTGAGCTCCTCAAAATCCTCCCGAAGAACCGTCTTCTTCTTCTCCCTGAGACAATTGCTCTGGATAGCTGCAATCCTGGAGCTGCTGACGTCGTCTTGGTTACAGCTCCTCTTCAGCCTGTCCAGCTCTTTATGCATAGACCTACTTCTCTTGGTGTGCATCAGCTTGAGGGATTTCTCCTGACCTAACTGCAATGTAGTCTGGTCCAGTTCTTCCTGTGCCTCCTTCTTGCTGTTGAGGATCTCTTGGTTGACGCACTTCTGACGAGCCAGCTCTCGTTTAGCCTCCTCCAGTGCTCTGCTGAGCCTTGAGTTAGCATCAAAACTGTTAGCAGGCTCGTGCTTGAGCATATTGTTCTGCTCTCTGTGTGAGTTCTGCACGGTGTGGGGGCCCAGGGCCATCCTATGGGTTCTCCCTCGCTCCATCTTTAGCAGGTAGAATATTTCCTTGCTTTGTGTGTGGATGAAGTCTGTCACTGGTGTGTCTCTGCTCAAGATGTGTCAGGTCACTCTGAAGAAAAGTTGTTTGTGCTGACTCAGAGCCTGGGTCCTATTTGCTAACTATTTTGGAATGACCTGTGATGTCATGATGATGTCACGAGCAGATAAAAGCACTTGGAACATCTGATGTCATCGGAACACTGCCAACATTCTATAATGACATGAGGCTCATCTCAATACCCCTCCTCGACTCAAATCCATCAAGACACGCCATGTTGAAGGACGTCCCAATACTTGAAATGCACACGGAGGAGTCGAGGAGGGGTGAGGGAGGAGACGAAAGGGAGGATACATGAGAGCAGACTACCGGAAGTGTTTTCACTACTCGCGTATAAAAGCCCCGCCCCCACCTTCACAGCTGGTCCATTTCAACACAGGAAAACGGAGAACTGGAAGAATGAGTGGAAAAGCGTCACATAATTGTCTAAGTGCTCACAGCTCCGTGGGAATTATTATGTGCAATTCATTTCTTAAGGTTATACTAACAATTGAAGTCCTGTTTAATGATCTTGAACGTCACTAAAACATAGCTATTAAGAAAGCTATTTCATAAATGGCTAGATCTTGATAAATAACAATTATCTTTATAGTTTTGTGTTAAAATATTCGGTAGTTAAATTATTTAAAATTCACAATTTATGTTCAGAGTAGAACATAAATTAATGCAAGAGAATGTTGCAAGACTAATGCAAGAGAGGTTAACTATATACAAGTAAAACAGAATCATTTCTATTCTAAAAGAGACACATATCACTAGGATGAGACTAAAAATGACCTCAAAGAAAGACAAAGTGACCAAAAAGAGTGAAAACATTACCATAATGATACTTGTAATAACCGCAAACAGCCATAATAAGTTACCAAAATGAGACACAAGGAAACAAACAGGTGTAAAAATGTCAATAAAATGGGAGAAAATAAAGGTCCCATGTCATGCTTTTCTGGTTATTACCCGTCCCCTTGTTGTTATGTAGCTTTTTCTGCATGTAAACGGTCTGCAGAGTCACAAACCCTCAAAGTACACCCTGTAGCGAGTAAAACTCTAACACAGAAAAGACCTGTCTATGCTGCCCCAGAACGCCTCGTTGGACATTTCTCTTTTTCTTCCTGGTCACAGTGACGTAACGACGACCAAATGGACCAATCCGTGGAGCTCCTCACACACACACACTCACTCAGCCTTATCTTTTCTCAGGCTGTGAGTGTGTGGCGATCAGCCTGGCTGTGAGTGTACTGTATGTGCTCAGGCTGAGTTCCTCGGTGTCTCGCTGTCTCGCAGCAACCAGGAAACGACACCAGTAATCCAGCTCACACTGTCCGCTCCTCGAGCCTCAAAGGGGCGGAGCAGCGAGCCCCGCAACGTCCCGCCAACACGGCACCCAGACCCCACGCAGTCATCTGTTTGTCATTACTGGTGTCATTTCCTGGTTGCTAACTAACGCCATTGTAATACATAATCACTGTTCAATGTTCCGCTGTAACGGTGGTGGATTCATCAGAGTGGGCGAGCTGACCAATCAGAGCACAGTGGGCTCATAGGGAGGGGGGGGGGCAGGAGCTCCAACAAGGCGTTTAGGACAGAGAGTGAATACACATACTATACAGAGATGCTGTATGAGAAACCAATGTGAGTTTGGAACATTGAACAATGTAAATCTATTCTAGTAGACCTCAACAATGGAATTATGATCAGTAGAAATGGCCATGTCATGGGACCTTTAAAATCAACATTAATATCATTATTATTATGACACTACCTTATAAATATTAAAATAAAAACATCTATTTATTGTACAATATCCACATAAACCTCTAAATGTGTTTATATTTTTCTTTACATTTTATTTAATACTAAATTGTAGGAACTGGTTGTGCCTTTTTTTAGATAAAAAAAATATATATATAAAAAATATCTAATATATAATTTCTTTATATTTCTTTTCAAAAGAACACAGGAAGTAGAGAAAAAATCAGAGGAAAAAAAACCATATGTATTTCATTCATTAAACAGAAAATATATATATATATATTATATAACATTGATTTTGGGGAATTCCTATCCTTATATTCTTTTGCCTACTTTAAAGCCCTTCTTTGTTTTGCTCTGGTTAACAAATGACACAGTTAATAAGCGTGGGGCTAACTATTAACCAGCAGATGAAAATCAGCAGGTGGATTGAGTTTAAGTGAATAAGAGAGCCATTGTAAAGTGGAGTAAAATGGGTGACCTATTTCTGTAAGGCAGCCCACTAAGTCTTACATAAACATGGGGACAAGGCTGACATACATGCTGCAAACAAACTAATATAAACTTAGGAAAAACATAGTGAAAGTTTGAAGCTAATAATGTGTTCTGCTTTCAAACCTTTGAGTGGTCTGCTCGTCCATGACCAGAGAGATGTAGCCCTCGATCAGGGAGAAGGAGAAGAAGCGGATGTGGTTCGAGTCTTCGGGCTCCTTTGGCCTTCAGAGAGGGACACAAAGAAAAGAGTTAACTAGTAATCTCACACATAATCCAATCCAACTATTCCTATAGCACAACAGAGTTATCCAAAGTGCTGTACATCAATAAATATATAAAAAAACAAACGGATAGGACATAAAACTAAATGTAAAACACAGGACAATAACACCATACTTAAAGCCACAGACTGAAAACTCATTGCATAATGACTCTTACACACACGCTTTACCTAAGTACAATTAAAATAACTATTACTTTCAAAATCAAAGTTGTCCAGAGTGTCTCGAAGGTGCCTTTCGGTCGGGAAGTTTGTCAAAAAGTCAAGAAAAACATTACTCAAACAACTGTTTTTAAGTGAAATGTTATAATTGAGTTAACAACCAACGTGTAGCATCACATAAACCCTCTTCTTATTCAGTATCAATGTTTTTTTAAATAAAGTATTTTAAACAATTTGCCAGATGTCCTTTAAAAAGTGTAGGAGAGTATTAGCATAAAGTTGCATAAAATGATTTTTTTTTTTTTAAAGGAAATGTAGAAACTTTTGTTTCCCACTACATGTATTTATTTGTACATTTATTTCAATTAACATACTATGAAACTTAAAGGTGGGGTAGGTAATTCACTTCAGAAACACTTGTTATATTCCATGGAATGTTCTTAACATCCCGATAGCAATGAATATCTTAAATGCTTTGACAATAAATATATAACAAAATATCATCAGTGGAAGCTGTAGTACTGTAAAAAGCACGACCAATCATCTGAGCCGGCCCGGCTAAAATAACTGGATGGCCTACCTGCCTGTCAGCCTTCCATCTGGGCACAAACTTATCTCGTGCCCTCATTGGTCATGTGCGCGTTCGTGTGTGTTGGAGGCGGAAGTCTGAAGGAAGGGGCAGATTTTTTTCGGCTGCTTATTTTCAAGTTCTAGCGCATTCAAGCTGGTTTCTCCATTCTTACCTACCCCACCTTTAACCGAGCCAAACGTGAACTCTTCAAATTTTGTTTTTGTTTGACCAAAACGGATTTACTTTATAATGATAATTGTGACTAAGGGAAGTAGGAAATTCAATCATTTAAGAGGCTGTTCTCAGAAAATATTGTGAAGTAACTATTATTGAATCCAACCCCTCCTCATGTACTGCTTACCCCCTGCTTTTTCAATATGCTCACTGTCACCAACAGGACAAAAAACTCACACGCATCACCAACACTACTGCCAGGATAATTGGACTCCCTACTTCCAACCTCACGATACTTAACAGGGCCATCTCACGCATCGCATCCTCAAAAGAACTGGACATCACAGGTACTGAACACTGAGACATATAAGGGCTCGCTTTGGAAAAGGCTTGGTTCCTGCAGCCACATCTGCCTCAAATAACAGGCCTCGCTAAGTGTAACCGCCATGTGTGTCACTCGCTATCTGTTGTTGTCTGTGTTATTGTTTGTTGTTTATATATTGTATGTAGACTGTGTACAGTGTTACGAAAATGAATTTCCCCCTGGGGACAATAACTCTAAATCTAATCTACAGATTATTATTTAAAATGATTATTTGTCGTTTAGTTTATGAAACAGAAAATGGCCAAATGTCTGGTTTCATTCAACAGAAAATGTCCCAAAACTCCAAACTAGCTTTACAATGTTATTGACGAAAGAAAAGCAGAGATCTCTCATATTGGACCTGCTGCTATAGAGTGCCATAGAGACACATCCTAAAACCTGGAAGTAAGTTAGCATGTTACCACTTCCTGTTCCCTGGTCTCAGAGCCAATGGGATCTCTCCATAGGATTTAGGAAAATATCTATAACTAAGGTCTGTGGTTGAGACACATTGAAGAGACGGATCACGTTTTGTTCTACGACATTAAATGGCAGTCATCAGCAGTGACCCCACTGGTGATTTCTGAAGAGTTGACGTGTCTGAAAAACGATGGTTGTTACCAAGTGGCTGAATAGGACTACAGAAGTCGTGGAGGACGTTGTACGTCATTACGCCGAACACGTAAACACTGCCTCTAAGTTAGTTTGCCCTGTTCTGCTTGAAAGCAAGTACCTGCCTCCTGCAAACTGTTCAAACAAACGCTTCAACTCGTACCATTTAGAATCTGTGTGTTTGAATATGGATCTTAAGTTGGCGTGACGTTGAAGCAGCGACCCTGCTGTAGTTCCTTTATACTGTAGCAGTGATTCTCAAACTTTTTTCAATAATGTACCCCCTTTGAAAAAATAATTCAGCCAAGTACCCCCTGATCAGCGCAAAAACTATTTGTTAGGGAGAAAATGCCTATATAAAGAGGTACAGTACAGCGCTGCACCATCAGTGTGTGATTTATTATAACAACAACATTGTAACTGAGAAACACTTAAATGCTACATTTCAAATGTTTACAATCCATCACTAAATTCATGGCAAACCAATTTTAATATCATGCAATAACACTGAGACGACATTAGTTGCATTGAACTGATCTTTTTAATAAGTTGTACTTACAATGTAGTGAGAAACATAGGCTTGTGCTTCACTGAGGATCTTTGTCATTCTGACAGGGAGGCACCTGCAGTTATTACACTTCGTGTTTTGAAATATGTGTAACTCTAGTCTATTAATATAAAACCCACACTGCTCAAACTTCGTTACTTTTCCTAAAATTGGTATATATATATTTTTTTTTCATTAACATAAAATAAATCTCACGTACCCCCTGCAGTACTCCAACGTACCCCTAGGGGTCTGCGTACCCCCATTTGAGAACTTCTGCTTTTATGATTAGAAAATTATAAAAGTAGTGTAGACATGTGGAGATTATCCGGCTGAACAAAACGTGATCCGTCTCTTCAATGTGTCTCAACCACAGACCTTATTTACAGCTATTTTCCTAAATCCTATGGAGAAAGTGCATTGCGTTTTTGTCGAAGGAACCGGAAGGAGTTTACTTCCGGGTTTTAGGACGCGTCACTGTGGCACTCTATAAGAGAATATGTTAAATAATGTTAAACTTATACTATATTTTACGTCACAACTTTCATTTGACGACTTCCTGACACTTCAGTCAGTAATGCATCTATGAACTAACCATAACATGTCCATACATCTATATTTTCACACACTAAGTCTTCTTTCAGTCTCTTACCCTGAGGAGTAGAACATGACGTCCATGAGCAGAGTGGCCACAGAGGGCAGCGTGTCGGGGTCCAGACTCGTCACACAGAACATGTTGCTGGGGCTGGACAGCGGGTGGATGATGGGGCGGGGCACTGAGAACAATACACATCAAATAAACACAAATCAGGCCTCAATTTAACCAAGAAGCATCTCATTCATACAAATGTATATATGGCAATAATTACATTTTTTAAGTGCTTAGGACAAGCATTAACTTAATCAAACTAAACTCCTAAAAGTGTTACATTTCAATATTCATTAAAAAGATTGTATACAAATGTATTATTATAATAAAAAATAGTGAGGTTGAGCCTAATGTTGTTTTGTGTTTTGCAAGATGAATGCTTTTCCACTTGATTTCCATTTATGGACTTGGCTCAGTCAGTAGGGGCTTGGACTGTGAGCTGAAGGGTCGCTGGTTCAAGTCCCCGAACAGACTTAAAGTATGGAGTGGACTGCTACTTGGAGAGGTCCCAGTTCACCTCCTGCCCTGCCGTGGTGCCCTTGAGCAAGGCACCGGACAACCCCCTTCCCCCCCCCACTCCCATTGCTCCCCGGGCGCTGTACAAGAGCTGCCCACTGCTCCTAGTACTAGACTCCTGGTGCTAGGATGGGTTAAAAGCAGAGAACACATTTCACTGTGTGCTCTGCATGTGAGACCATTACAGAGGGGTTCATCCCTCCATATTCTATTCTATATATCTCAGAAAATATCATTCTCATCTAGGTTAAGGAGTGTAAAAATATTACAAAATTATGTTCAGTAAAATCTCTCAGAAAGCATGATGGTGCAGATGATGATGTGCACCAAGGTAGAAAAATGTAAGTAAAATAAGTCCAACAAAAGTTCCCAAAAGGTTTTTATGAGCATCTTTACTCTAATTTACCAAACATTTTTCCATGTTAATTTTCACCATACTTTAAAAGCTTGCTTCTATACAAAACAATAATATAAATGTATTTTTTTTTGGTTCTTCGGCTTACCCAATTTGGGTTTTACGAATCCGTTGGTGACCCCCAGGTCGTGGACCGCCACCGTCTCTCCGTTGACGACCCGCAGCAGAGTGAACTCTGAAGACAGCGTGTGCATCACCAGAGGAAGGTCCCGCTCCCGCACCTGGACACAAACACAGGGAGAAGTGAGTACGTTAAAAACTAATATTGTAGAAAAGTTGCTTCTTTGTTTGAGGAAACTTACAAAAGGGAATCCCACTTTGATTTGATTTATTTAGAATGTGTAAAACAATAATACAAAAAAATTATAATAATCGAAATGAAACATGAGAATTATGAAACTGTACAAACTTAAGCAGTGTCAAATTGATGAACACAAACTATTACTGATTCTAAATTATATATAAGCGAATGATATACTTAAAGGTGGGGTAGGTAATTTTGGAGAAACCAGCTCGAGATCGCTAGAATTTGAAAATACACAGCCGGAAAAAATCTCCCACTTCCTCACAGAGCCCCTCCTCCAACACACACGAACGCGCACATGACCAATGAGGGCACGAGATAAGTTTGTGCACAGATGGAAGGCTGACAGGCAGGTAGGCCATCCAGTTATTTTAGCCGGGCCGGCTCAGATGATTGGTCGTGCTTTTTACAGTACTACAGCTTCCACAGATGATATTTTTTTATGGATTTTTTGTCAAAGCACTTCAGATATTCATTGCTATCGGATGTTAAGAGCATTCCATGGAATATAACAACAAGTGTATCTCGAGCCGGTTTCTCAAACTTACCTACCCCACCTTTAATTACACATCCGAAAAGGGGTGGGAAGACGTTTACACTTATTTAATCCCACCCCTTCTCCCAAAAACTAAATTATTAACATATATATAGATTTATTTTTTTCTTAAAGAAACCACTTTTATATATTTGTGAGTTATTTTGTGATGATATGAACTTCTTAGTGTTCCTGATCTTTCTCCCTGCGTCATCGTTAATGATTTCCTACATTTCAATAGAAATAGAGCTTTTTGAAATCTCCAGAAAATGGGAATTGACTGCTTATATATTAATATTGTCTCTGATTTTCTGCACTTGTCTGCAGTGACCATTTTAAAATGGTTCCAACTAAATAAATGTCTAAGGACAGGGTGTCCGCGGGGTCTTAAAAGTTGATCAATCAATTAGCGAAAATGAAGGCTATTAAAAAGTATTAAACGGCATTTTCCAAGGTATTACATGTTGTAGCTAGTTTTCAATAAGTATATAAATTGTCCAAAGAGGTTGTATTCTACAGTCTGCCTGAATGTAATCATTGGGTAGGTGTGTAGTGTGATTCTGTGTAGTTTATTTATGGCATCCCGTTGGATCTGACGTCATCTGAACAGGACATCGCACGCTCACTGCTTGATAGCGCGCGAAGGTCCGTTTACGCCGGTTGTTAAAAAACATCGTTATGGGGAAATGCAAGTCTGCGTCCAAATGGTTGGAAGATAAGGAGGAAGGACAATCAATACTGTATACAGTCAATGTGAGGTAAAGTGTGTCGCCAAGGTAACCGGTTAGAACTCCAAGTGGCGATGAGGTCTTAAAATGTATGGAAAGGGTCTTAAAAAAGGTCTTAAAAAAGGTCTTAAAAAGGGATTACATGTGACTTCAGGATTCCTGCATATACCCTGAAGGATAATCAACAACAACTTGTATTTTGAGAGTGTGTTAACTTACAGTGAAAAAGAAATAACAATGTTAGTAGCATTCCCTGGTTTTGGCTCAGTGAAAAACTAAAAGAGATACATATTTAAAAAACTGCATTAATCGGTCTGCCTCTAGTTTGAAACATGTTTTATTTGATCATTTGTGTAACCTTGTAATAGTGAGCTATCTCGGCAAGGTCTCCCTTAAAAACAGTTTAGATTCCGGGTTAAATAACGTTATTTATTTAAAGATATAACAGTGATTTATTTCCTTAAAAAAGGTAATAACAAAATTGCGCTTCAATGTCTTGCCATCATATAAACATTCCACTGGCACCATAAGTTTAATCATTTATTGAGTTACAGTAAATGCCTCAGCATAACACAAACCTACAAAGATTTATATATGAACTATGATGTAGAGTTTATTGGTGTCTGAGACAAAGGTGAACTCTGAAGATTGTATAAGAGAGGATAATCATGACTTCTGCGTCAGTTTATACAATATGATATACAAATATATTTATTCTCAGATTAAGTCTTACGTTTTTCCTGCAACATTAACAAGGATATATATATTTAAGATTGGCTAGCGCTCCAACACATTGTACGTGATAAGCTAAGAGGCGGGACATCTCTAAGTGGTTGACCAATCACAACAGAGCCGGCCAGCTAACCAATCAGAGTAGACTGGGCTCTGGTTTCAGACAGAGGGTGAAAAGAGGTGCTGCAGCACAGACAGTATGAGAAAAATAAAGAGCTTTTTGAACATTAAAGCATGGAGACATGTAGAGACACTACATACTGATATACACCTGAACATCAGCAGGAGAGGACTCTTTAAAGTAGAGACACTACATACTGATATACACCTGAACATCAGCAGGAGAGGACTCTTTAAAGTAGAGACACTACATACTGATATACACCTGAACATCAGCAGGAGAGGACTCTTTAAAGTAGAGACACTACATACTGATATACACCTGAACATCAGCAGGAGAGGACTCTTTAAAGTAGAGACACTACATACTGATATACACCTGAACATCAGCAGGAGAGGACTCTTTAAAGTAGAGACACTACATACTGATATACACCTGGACATCAGCAGGAGAGGACTCTTTAAAGTAGAGACACTACATACTGATATACACCTGAACATCAGCAGGAGAGGACTCTTTAAAGTAGAGACACTACATACTGATATACACCTGAAGATCAGCAGGAGAGGACTCTTTAAAGTAGAGACACTACATACTGATATACACCTGAACATCAGCAGGAGAGGACTCTTTAAAGTAGAGACACTACATACTGATATACACCTGAAGATCAGCAGGAGAGGACTCTTTAAAGTAGAGACACTACATACTGATATACACCTGAAGATCAGCAGGAGAGGACTCTTTAAAGTAGAGACACTACATACTGATATACACCTGAACATCAGCAGGAGAGGACTCTTTAAAGTAGAGACACCACATACTGATATACACCTGAACATGAGCAGGAGAGGACTCTTTAAAGTAGAGACACTACATACTGATATACACCTGAACATCAGCAGGAGAGGACTCTTTAAAGTAGAGACACTACATACTGATATACACCTGAACATCAGCAGGAGAGGACTCTTTAAAGTAGAGACACTACATACTGATATACACCTGAACATCAGCAGGAGAGGACTCTTTAAAGTAGAGACACTACATACTGATATACACCTGAACATCAGCAGGAGAGGACTCTTTAAAGTAGAGACACTACATACTGATATACACCTGAACATCAGCAGGAGAGGACTCTTTAAAGTAGAGACACTACATACTGATATACACCTGGACATCAGCAGGAGAGGACTCTTTAAAGTAGAGACACTACATACTGATATACACCTGAACATCAGCAGGAGAGGACTCTTTAAAGTAGAGACACTACATACTGATATACACCTGAAGATCAGCAGGAGAGGACTCTTTAAAGTAGAGACACTACATACTGATATACACCTGAACATCAGCAGGAGAGGACTCTTTAAAGTAGAGACACTACATACTGATATACACCTGAAGATCAGCAGGAGAGGACTCTTTAAAGTAGAGACACTACATACTGATATACACCTGAAGATCAGCAGGAGAGGACTCTTTAAAGTAGAGACACTACATACTGATATACACCTGAACATCAGCAGGAGAGGACTCTTTAAAGTAGAGACACTACATACTGATATACACCTGAACATGAGCAGGAGAGGACTCTTTAAAGTAGAGACACTACATACTGATATACACCTGAACATCAGCAGGAGAGGACTCTTTAAAGTAGAGACACTACATACTGATATACACCTGAACATCAGCAGGAGAGGACTCTTTAAAGTAGAGACACTACATACTGATATACACCTGAACATCAGCAGGAGAGGACTCTTTAAAGTAGAGACACTACATACTGATATACACCTGAACATCAGCAGGAGAGGACTCTTTAAAGTAGAGACACTACATACTGATATACACCTGAACATCAGCAGGAGAGGACTCTTTAAAGTAGAGACACTACATACTGATATACACCTGAACATCAGCAGGAGAGGACTCTTTAAAGTAGAGACACTACATACTGATATACACCTGAACATCAGCAGGAGTGGACTCTTTAAAGTAGAGACACTACATACTGATATACACCTGAACATCAGCAGGAGAGGACTCTTTAAAGAATCTGAAAAAAAAATTGACGTGTGCACAAAAGAGTGCTTCAGTCTTACTATTTTAAATCATAATTGTATTAAATGATGGGTTTTTATTGATGGAACTATTCATATTCTCTGTTTAGGACATGGTGAGGGTTAGGGACAATGTTCATATTCTTATGGTAGGCTCATTTATAGATTTATACAATCGTGTAACGCTAACAGTGAGAAGCCCAGATCTTAAGCTGCTGTGTTTGGGTCAGCGCAGAGATTTGGAAATGCAACCCGACGTAGCGTGAGACGAGGACAGCGAGAAGATGGGAGGTGGGTTTGTGTTTTTTTAAAAGCCTCTTTTGATCTGATATACCAATTAGGATTGTGTGTAGACAGGAGACAGGAAACAGAGCCGGGTTATGATACCTGGAATTCCAGCTCCGAGGCTGAGCCGCTGATCCTCTTTACGTAACAGATTATAACATCCACACAGGGTTTTTTTCATTTTCATAAACATGCCGGAGCTGCTCAGCAGACCTTGTTTTTCCACCAAAGCAAGGCAATAAAAAAACACTCCCTGTGGCCAGACAGCCTCGCTATGAGAGACAGGATTTCTCCCTAAGTCAGAAGGAAGTGGAGCTGGGAGAGGAACAGTATATCCAAACGTTATTGCTTTCTCATGTCACCGTCATGCACGTAGACATTTGTTTTAGGAGTAGAGTAATAATGCAACTCTTCATGCATACTGTGAACCTAACAAAAACATTCTCTTAATTTAACATCTTTTAACATCAAAGTTAGATTTTTTAAAGGTTTTTTTGTTGAATACTTGGGTACATTAAAGGAATATATATTTGTTATAATACCTTTTATAGGGGGGGGGGGGGTGTAGGGGAATTGTTATTTACATTAATAGGCGAGTAAGCTAAAAGCCAGGACAAATGTAAATAAAATAGAGCGTTATGTTACAGTAAGTGTGTGGGAGAGAAACTGGATTTTAGCCTTTGCAGACCGTTTACATGCACTAAAACCTATATAACAAGTCAGACCGTGCTCCAGTCGATCCTCACAGTAAATACAAAAGCCTAATAGGGCCTCTTTAATTGTACAGGTCAGAGTGCTATCGTCCTCACTCACCAGGATGAAGTCGGTCTGGTAGGTGGACAGCATGAAGACGGAGATGTTGTGGTCGGCCAGCGGAGCGATGACCGATTTGGCGATCTTTGTGACTCCGATGGGCTGCGAGTTGGAGGCGTTCCCCCCCCCCGGCACCACGTTAAGAGCTAACCACGTAGCATCCGCAACACTGATGTGCTCCGACTGAGGCAACTCTGAGGAAACAGAGACACGAGGGTCAGAAAAACAAGAGGTACGGATTCAAGATTCAAGGCTTTTATTGTCATGTGTGCATAGCTATTCTTAGGTCACAGGCTCCTCCAACAGCAACACCATACAACAGATAAAATAGTGCAAGTAAATAAAATAAAATATAAAAGAAATAGTGCAGAATAGTCTATATACAAGTAATTGGAATATTGATATATATATATATAAGTTGCAAACAGATGAATGTTATGGATGTTCTTTCAAAAGTTCAGGTGTTTAACAGTCAGGTAAAGTACACACACGACTGCAGTACAACTACACAATACAACCTGAGAAGAGGTGGTAACTTACGCACAGTGGTGGAAGAAGTTAAATCCAATCCATTACTAAAGTTGTATTGGTAATATTAATTGGGAAAATACTCAGAAAAGTTCATTCAGAAAGTCGCTTAAAGGTGGGGTAGGTAATTCACTTCAGAAACACTTGTTATATTCCATGGAATGCTCTTAACATCCCGATAGCAATGAATATCTGAAGTGCTTTGACAAAAAATCCATTAATAAATATCATCTGTGGAAGCTGTAGTACTGTAAAAAGCACGACCAATCATCTGAGCCGGCCCGGCTAAAATAACTGGATGGCCTACCTGCCTGTCAGCCTTCCATCTGTGCACAAACTTATCTCGTGCCCTCATTGGTCATGTGCGCGTTCGTGTGTGTTGGAGGAGGGGCTCTGTGAGGAAGTGGCAGATTTTTTCCGGCTGCGTACTTTCAAATTCTCGCGCACTGGAGCTGGTTTCTCCATTCTTACCTACCCTATCTTTAAAGTGGACCTATCATGCTATATTTGAATAATATAGTGTAGGACCATACCTATATAAGGCATATTTATACTTTTTTTTTTTTTAAATACCAAACAGATCATGCATTTTAGCCATGCCTCATTTCGCTCAATTTGACATTTTTTAGCTCTGGATTTGCAAGGGCAGATTCTGTGAGAACAGCACCATCTAGAGGCCTGGCATATGTACTACAGCGTCTCCAGCGCTTTCAAACGGCAATGGCCGTGGCTGTCTCCTCCTGATTGGTGGAGTTGGCCCAATAGCCGTAGCGCCACCGTCCTGACGTCAGGACAGTGTTCAAATCTGGATCAGTTTTTAATCAGATCCTGTTGCAGCCCCTTTTTTAGAGATTTGGGTATGGAGGAAAATAGAGAGGGTTGTGTTTTCTGACACTTGGTGAGTTCCCTGGAACACCGGGGACACATATTCATGTAGAAAAGACGTACAAAAGTGCATTTTGCATGATAGGTCCCCTTTAAGTAAAAGTAGAGGATTTGGCATCAAAAGTAAAAGTACTCATTCTGTGTAATGGCCAGCTGACGATGGTCATTTAAACAGTTCATGTTTTATACTTCTTATAGCCTTATTACCGATGCCTGAGCACGAGTATTAATACATGGTCAAACACCAGTTTGTAACAAATAGAAAAGAAACTGGGAAGTTATTGTGAGCAATGAGCATGACTAATGGTTCTTCCTTACTTTATGAGACGTTTTTTAATCTTTTCTACACATTTAATAAAAGGTTTTACTTTTAATACTTGAATTTTTGTTATTCTGTTCATATACTTAAACAACATTTTAAGTTCAGTTCTCTTACTTGTAATGGAGTATTTTAAGACCATAGTTTTACTTCATCTGAGTACTTCTTCCACCACTGACAAAAGACTGTAACAACATGTATGATAATACATTTTCCATGTCTTCAGGAGGTTTTAAATATATATTTGATATGACTCTCTCTACCCTCCTAGTCTAGTTGAACAGAAAAGAGGCCGCTCTAAACACTGTAGAAAATACCTGCGGCTGTTACGCAACAAATAGCCTGAAGTCTCCAGGGTAACAGAGCAGGGTCACTCAGGAAAAGGTGTGTGTGTGTGTGTGTGTGTGTGTGTGTGTGTGTGTGTGTGTGTGTGTGTGTGTGTGTGTGTGTGTGTGTGTGTGTGTGTGTGTGTGTGTGTGTGTAATGACATGAATTCACTCAATCAGTCCTTGGCGGCCGTAATGACCGAGTGTGTTCAAACACAATCACACATTACACAACGAGATCTTTTCCTGCCGCTCCGACCTGTGGTTACCACGGAGATACTGGAGAGCAACCCCACCTTTGAAGCCCTCCTCGTCCACGATGATGGTGTAATCCTCCGGGGTCTCCGTCAGGCTGAAGAACTTACATCTGTGGAGGAAGAGAGGAGGCTGTGAAAAAGCTAGGTCCAGACATTCCCCAACATTAGACATATGGCAGATTACAAAATAATGCTAAAAAGTGTACAGTTAACAGAAATCAGTTTAAAGGGCCCATGTCATGCTTTTCTGGTTATTACCCGTCCCCTTGTGTGTTATGAAGGTTTGTATGCATGTGTGTCTATGCTGCCCCAGAACGCCTCGTTGGAGAGATTTCTCATTTTCCATTGTTTGCTTCCTGGGTTCTGTGACATGTGATCACCCAAATCAACAACAAATGACCGGATTGGCCCAAATGGACCAATCCGGAGCACCTCACACACCAGGATCCCTTGGCTAACTAACAGGGAGTCCCATTGACTTGCATAGAGCTCCCTGAACGCTGGTAATAGACGAGTTGGGATGGTGGAGAAATGCTCTCTGCAGACCCATTCTCACAGAGTTATAAACCTTTTTCTTACTCAATATCAAGCCACACTTATTGTTTCTACTTCGGCTGTGAGTGTTTGTGTGTGCTCAGGATGAGTTTCGCTTGTTCTCGATGTATCGCCGACCCGGAAACCTGTCCGCTCCTCGCAGCAACGAGCCTCGCAACGTCCTGACCAATCAGAGCACACTGGGCTCACAGGGAGGGGGGGGGCAGGAGCTCCAACAAGGCGTGTAGGACAGAGAGTGAATACACATACTATACAGAGATGCTGTTGAGGAAACCAATGTGAGTTTGGAACATTGAACAATATAAAATGTATTCTAGTAGACCTCAACAATGGAATTATGATCAGTAGAAATGGCCATGACATGGGACCTTTAAAGTACAGACCAAGAATATAATTACATTTGTAAATTCAACAAAAATACAATAAAAGCACATCCACAAACAGAGCAGAGTACAGCTTACAATTCTCCAAATAGATTAACCATATTCAACATTTCCTCACAGTAGTTTAGTCTTTTCACTTTAAATTCCCAAAACAATGGAGTAAAATTCAGAAGCTTTCTTCCTTTCTCAAGACTGACTCGAAGTTAAATTGTTTGGTGGGAACGGAAGTACATTTACTCACTAACATAAAGCAGAAGCCTGTGTCTAATATGGAAACATGTCCCAGGTGAGGCACATAATACCTGAACATAAGCATAATAAACCCCCTTTATGTGTATAATTGAAATCAAAATGTTGCCAGTGTATTTCTTTGCTAACAGATCCCCCAAAAACGTCTGTGTCATTTTATGAAATATCCATTTTGTTAAACTTTTTTTCACTTTTGTTTTGATGTTTCTGTCTGGAAAATGTCAAGATTCAAAAGCACCAAGAACCCAAACAGCTCCCAGATAATGAGAGAAAAAGTCAGCTTGTTGTTATCATGTCCAGCAGACTTTCTGAAGCTCGAATGAAAGCAGCGCTCTGGGAAAACACGGCTGTGACAATCACATCTTCACAGACCAGCCTCTGAATGCTCACACGTCACATTTAGCTGAAAGGTGTGAAAAAAACCAAGCGAATAACAGGAGAGACTCAACAATGCTCTCTGTGGGGAGGGCCAAGTTTTCTCTTGAGCTGTCACTTCTAAGCCAGGACACTGGGAACACTCGTGCAGTAATCCCCTAGCACACACACACACACACACACACACACACACACACACACACACACACACACACACACACACACACACACACACACACACACACACACACACACACACACACACACACACACACACACACACACACACACACACACACACACACACACACACACACACACACACACACACACACACACACATGCACACACACACACACACACACACACACCACACACACACACACACACACACACACACACACACACACACACACACACACACACACACACACACACACACACACACACACACACACACACACACACACACACACACACACACACACACACACACACACACACACACACACACACACACACACACACACACACACACACACACACACACACACACACACACACACACACACACACACACACACACACACACACACACACACACACACACACACCTGTTGTGATTGGTCAACCTCTTAGAGATGTCCCGCCCCTTAGCCTATCACGTACAATGTGTTGGAGCGCTAGCCAATAGAAGTCGTGGGTGTTAAAAAGTGCCTTTGCAGACCATTTACATTCACAACAACCGATATAACACACTACAGGAAAGGGAAAACCCAAAAAGCAGAATAGGGAATCTTTTTTAATGCTAATTTCCTTTTGCCTTTCTATCTGCACTGACACTTTTGCTGTAAAAATGCTCTGGGACAAATTAAGGATTTCTTCTATTAGCTGTCACAGAGGGGTAAATCTCTACGAGCCTGCATTACTCACATTCTGCGAGCATGCAAGAAAACTCACAGGGACTCTTTAAATAAGCCGACACTGCACAGCAATTAGCGCGTTCACACCGGAGTACTTTTCCCACAATAGTTCATCAGAACTACGATATTTGCGTTCACACCAAAAAGCCCCAGGAACTAAAGTAGTTCAAATTAGTTCATCTGACCCGCTTTGCAGTCCCTGCTCTCGAGCATGTGGTGGATTGCAACTTTAAGGTGCATACCGCCACCTACTGTACTCGCCGTGAAGTGGTTTGCGGCCTGCCAGTAAACCCAAAGCAGAAGAAGAAGAAGAAGTGACGTCAGCGGTTCATTTGCCTAATCCACCCCCAGGAACTCATTTTGGTGTGAACGCGATCTGCTTTAGTTCATCAGAACTTCATCAGAACTAAAAGAGTTCTGATGAACTAAAGTTCTCATGAACTATTGTGGGAAAAGTACTTGGTGTGAACGCACCTATTGCAAAGCTCTCACAGCAGAGAATACCAGAGGTGGGGACTCGAGTCACATGACTTGACTCGAGTCAGACTCGAGTCCCATATTTTTTGACTTGAGACTTGCTTGACTAACATTGATAAAAGACTTGACTTGACTTTGACTTGGTATTCATGACTTGAGACTTGACTTAAGCTTGAGACAGATGACTTGAAAGGACTTGACTGTTTAAAATGAAATATTTGCGTTTGTTTTTGTAGTGAGATATTACGTTTAGTTTTTTCGAAAAACGTGATTGGGTGATTATAGCGCCGTGCGCGCAAACCTGGCAACCCACTAGACCGCAGGAGCGTCAGTTAACATGGCAGCGGCTAGCGATACTCCAAAAATAGTGAAGTTTGGATTCAAGGATTATGTTGTCGATGACGCTAATAAGAAGAGAACAGCGGTATGCAGGGTCTGCAGCATAAAGATCAGTGACACGACCACCACAACATCCAACTTCATTCGTCACTACAAAAAACCCCACAGAGAAAGGTGCGTGAATGTGTTGTGTTAGCTAGAAAGCTAACGTTAAGTTTAAGCTACGTTAGACTTGGTTTCAAATCGATTAAGCAAAGAGAAGACAAAACGGTAAATGAACACTAGAACCGCCAAGGGATTCATTTTGACTAACCCTGATACTGACGGGCCGTCAGGAGAGAGAGAGAGAGAGAGAGAGAGAGAGAGAGAGAGAGAGAGAGAGGAAAAGAGATGCCTCGTTTATTTCCCCTGTGTTATCAGAAGTTAATGTAAACTGTTGAATAATGTAGTTCATCTACTTTTAGTAGTTTGTTTAAATGTTTTAATTATGTTGTTGTTGTTTGTAGAAGTGCATCATTCCTTGATTTATTGTAAAATGAATCTGAACTTTTTGATCTGTTATGATGATAAACTGAAGCAATTTCTAAATTAACCCAATTAAGTGAGTTTTAAATCGTCCTACTTTTAGTTTATAAGGAAATTATGAAGAGGAACAAATGAAATGATTTGAAAATGATATCTATGTAGGTGCTGACGCTGTTGGCGGTTCTAGTGTTAACAGACATTTAAATTAAATATGTGTAATGGCAAATGCCATATATGATTTTCTTACCTGGAATTCTGCCTTTTTGAACAGACTGATTGATTGAGTCCTAGCTATATTGTCTGCAGTTCTAGGGTTAATATGAATCTGATATGATTGTCATCGGTCTAAATTAGATTTCAAATGATTAACTGTGTATGTAATGAAGATCATAGTGTGGGTTGAATTCATTTTCATAACCACTGTCTTTTAACTGATTTAAATGCGGAAACTGAGTTTATTCATCAGAATTTCGTATGACTTGACTTGACTTGCTTGACCTGAGCAATGACTTGACTTGCTTGACTCTCACCACAGTGACTTGGGACTTGCTTGATACTTGTAGGTCAAGACTTGAGACTTGCTCATGACTTGCACATGTAGGACTTACTCCCACCTCTGGAGAATACACAACAAATGTGTTTTTGTAAACACAAATAATAATAGAAAAAGGTAAATAATCTTTCTCCCATCTTCTATTTTGTGAGTTGTTGATGTGAGTTATTGACAGTTCATAAGGAGGATATCTCAATTTCCACGGTGTATATATTTAGGAATTGATATTGACACTTCCTGGTAGCGACCCAAATGTCTTCGTGGCATCGAGTGTCAGAAAATGCGGGAAGTTGGAAGCAAATCAGATTCTGCAGCTTAACATTTTTACCTTTGAGCTGCGTTCAGTGATGTTCGTGGCCGTTTATGGGGCAGCAAAACAACCTTGAAACAAAACCCCGACACGTAAGCACCTCCTAACGTTGTCATGGTAAACATGTTGGCGGCCTGTTTGCACATCCAGGGTAACATTGGGGCTGTGGATCTGGTAACTTGATGAAAACAAGTGCAATATTCACTCCCTCCACCGACTCCTGGGGGACAAACCTGGCTCCTGCTAAAAGCTCCACTGTTTTCACCAGATATGGATTGAAGTCAACTAAAAACCCATCTGATTTTCTATGGTTTTATTGGGTCCCTTGATTACAAATGTAATCTATTATTATTATTATTACTTATTTTTATTTTATTCTAGGGCTGTGCTATTATGGCAAAAATCATAATCACGATTATTT